AATTGTAAGAACGTAAAAGAAGCATCAATGCCAAAAACGTTTCATTAACAGTAGAATTAATTAGGTCAAACATCTACACAGAATTGACTTAGCGCCTGTCAGTACGTGAAGGTGGGGGACCCTACATAGGTGAGGTAACCTGCCTTTACATGAAATTTTCCACTCCCACCAGCTCGGAGTACTCTTTTTCAGGATTATTTAATCGATGTTCGCTAAGCGCGTACATCTGTTTGCAGTAATGTTGTCATAGAAGAAATCAAAAAAAGGAGAGGGAAATGATAAAGAGATAAATTGGGTTAAATTTGGCGTCCCCTCTAAAATCAGGGAACGTAATTTACATGGCTAATTAATGCTATTTGCTGTTTTGCATGTGATGTAAACAAAAAAAGGCATTAAGCAGACGACATGTTTGGGTGGTAAATGCTCGTCTTCTCTAATTTGCTGCTCGTTCTGCAATCATTCAGTACTGTTGCTTTCTGTTGTCACTTTCAATGGTGCCATATAGTTGTGTTTCAAATAAGATGCGAATTTGATGTAACACAAATTCGACCCTGGGTAGGCGGGTTACCTCACCTTGAATCGTTATCATGGCAAACTTTGACCCCGGCTGAGAGGGTTAACCGGTGTGCTAGACACGCTCATGTTAACGTTATGAAATAAAAATTAGAGATTGACTTATATGGGCAGGTGGGTTACCTTTCTTACCTAGACTCCCCTACCTCCATGTAAACAGGCTCTTAGTGGGCACAGTTCACGGTTGGCATACTATTTGATTTAACTTATAATGGAATTAACTTAATTGAATTTCTAGAAAATTAAACAAATGAGTTTGTTGTGTAAAGTAGTAGCTGTAAAAGCAGAAGACCAGACAATTAAGAAGACGAAGTATATTAAAGTTTTAACTTTGTTTTGCTCGTGTGATGAAGTCATCGCTGAATTTTAGACTAGATGGTCAGAATATGTGAAATGCCCCGTAGAGTTCGAGCACCAGTTGAGTTAAATGGAGAATAGTGGTATGGATTCAAATGGTATCCAACACTTGTCTCGTACCCAGATCTCACTCTGTCTTACGGTGAAAAGTGAGATCTCTCTTTCCCTTGGCAGTGGGAGATCTGGGTACAAGATTAATTCAGTACTTACCCTGAATAGTGACTGCTTCGGCCGCATAACACACTAAATATGTTTATCGCGCTTGTTCTAATTTTTTATCTTTTTTGTTTCTAGATCGTTAACTGAGTAGGCCGAAGGCTGGCCCAGTTTATAAAATACTTTCAATTTTCACTTCGGGGGGTATTCCTGGAAATTCGTGGTGGGCCGTGTGCCGTCTCCAAATCCTGACCATAGATTGTATTTGAGACCAATACCTATAAGGCAAGTGTAGAGGAGTACCCCCGCGATTTTTGTGTCAAAAATGAATGCTATCTATTATTAACTTACTAATCGGAGGGGGGCGGGGCATTCCTGATATTTTGTGGTGGGGGTGTGTTGTCCGGCTCCTGACCCTAGACCTTATTTTAGATAAATATCTTAAGGCAAATGTAAGGGAGTACTCCCCCGGGGATTCTCGTTATCATGATGATGGTTCATCATGTGCATGTTTTCAGCCCCCCCGCCCCTCTTTTGAAGACTAAAGTATTTCAAGATTGAAAATACGCCGATAAAGGACACAAATGGAAAGAGCAAGTTCGAAAGAATGCTCAGCTTCCTTTTTGTGGAAAAATGAGAGCTTTTTGCTATGAAATTGTCTTTCGAGAGGATTCAACCTTGTTTTGTTCACTGAGGATCAGAGCGCTTTGCTTGTTTTGAACAAAGCGAGGCAACAAGGTTTCTGAAGAAACCTGAGGTACATTCTGTATACTCTATGGTCAAGGAAAGTCCTTTTTTATTAGGAAATTTTTGTATTTATAAAGGATTCATGAACCTTTTCTACATTTTTACAACGGCGTGAACGAAAACCACAAAATGTGCATTTGAAATAGATTTTTTGCCATGTGCTCAGCCGATTTAACTTGCGTGAACGGATCCACGATCCAGTTAGTGTTACGCGAATTGCTTTTTAGGATTAACTTATGGATTTTTTAATAAAAAAGTTTAAAGTTATTAAGTTATTCATCTGTCATTATTGCTCATTCATAACATTAGCTCAAAACACGATCGTGAGTCTACAGATCGTGAGATTTTTAGAAACACTTCACACGTCGACTACTCCCCATTCTTGAATAATTAAAACTTAAGTCTTGTTTTTCTACATGTTCCATTGAATTATAATTCATTTTCTTATTCCTCACTTGCCATTCAAGAATTTTTGCAGTGTGCTGCTCTTTTTCCATAACTCGTGCCCTGAATCACAGCTGGAACCGCTTGAATGAAGTTTGTTTTCAGTTGTTTGTTTACGGCTTTATGAGGGTCTGAATGGGGGGGGGGGTCCACTTGTCGGTTGTCGGTTAAAATTCAGTAATTTTGTCGGTAGTCGGTTAAAATTTTCGATCTTTGTCGGTAGTCGGTTAAAATTGTTGGAAAATCTCAGTTAATAAGTAAAAACGCTTGTTAATCATCAATATCTTTTATGTATTTCACCCACTTTTCAAGACTTTGATCCCTAAGGATAGAGTAAAACTTGCAAGAATGTATCATTTGATTGCGCCTAAACCGTTCATTGACTCATGAAGATTGTTTTTTAATGCAACATGATCGTTTATTTCATCATTGTTTGCCATTAAATGAATATAGTACTGATAAAATCACATAAGCTTTTATTGTAAATGCGAACTTGGTTTTCCTGTCGACTACAGGTCAACGAATAAAAATTAATTAATTAATTAATGAACTCTAGCCCTTTGGATACTTAAATTATTTTTAGCGAAAAACTGCAAGGGGTGACAGGCTGCACATCTATCCCTCTTATGTTTTGGTTCTAACAAGCATGTCCTTTGCCGTAATTTTCCTTTCTCAAAGAAATAGAGCTTAAGGTGGTTCTTTAAAATTTTGGCAAGGTAGTGGTTGGTTTTTTATGAGATTCCACTTCTTCATTAAAACTTCTGATGAGACATTTTTATAGACACTAAGGGCTGGTACTGTGTCACGAAAGGCAATATTTCAGTCTTTTTCTTACTGGTTGCTTTGTTTCAGGAGCGCTGCCTTTCTGTGAGTTTTACTTCTAATAGCAATTTTTCTTTCAAACTTGTGTGGCTAGCCTCTGTCCATCAAGGGCTTTTGAAATCTGAAATACTTCCTCAGAGGAGTTTGTTCGTAGGATTCTCAAGGCTTCTCGTTTGTCAAACAGGCGCTTTAACAATTGGTGAGTGAAAAATTCTAAAAAGAATGTCTCATTTTCAGATATTTCGGCCGTGAATTTCATCCGGGCATGTAAGTTTACTTGTTCCGCGAAGAAAGCTACGATGTCTGGTTTACTTATGTCCCATAGGAAAAAAATGTCATCTATGTAGCGTTTTCCAACAGTTGGTTTCAAGACAGTTTTGCTTAAACTTTGTGTTTCAATATGTGCCATGAAAATGTTGGAAAGGAAACTGCTGTCTTTGTGCTCATCGCGGTACCGTGGGTTTGCGCTGATAGTGTTTTACATTAAACGGGAAAGAATTTTCTTCGAGGATTAATCTAAGCAAGAAACGTTCGGTTTTTTCACCTTTGACTTTTCAATAAAATTTATAAAGTCGGTAGCATCTTTAAGGTGTGACTTTGTGATTTTGATATTGGCTGTAGCAATGTACCTGTTTCAACAACAAAAAAAGGAAATTATTTCCCTTAGGCCATCTGATGAGTCATAAATTTAAAGAGGTTACTTCCTCAATTAAACGGTTAGAAAAAAAAATGCAAAATGCTCTTTTTTCTGGAAATAAATATTGATAATATCAGCCCATGTCGGTAGTCGGTTAATATTTTTCCTGTCGGTAGTCGGTAATTTTTTACTCATTTTGTCGGTAGTCAATAATATTTTTCGCCCTTTGTCGCTAGTCGGTTAACCCCATTCACACCCTCTTAAAGGGAAGGCCTAAAAGGAAAAGTAGGCTTTGTGTTCCTTTAAAGCTTTGTGTTCCTTTTAGGCTTTGTGTTTCTTTAAGCCCATTAACCGGGCCCGGACGAGCAGTTATGTGTAGCCTTTACATTTATACAGCCTCACAATATCGAGGAGAGACATAGGGAAGCAAACGATAACCATTTTCGCTACCAATAACCGATAATCCAGGCCCGTAACCAGGATTTTATGTGGGGGGAGGGGTGCTAACGAGGCCAAAGTGGACCAAACTACCGAAACGTATTTTTTATTGTCTCATCCGTTTATTTAGGAAAGTAGCAATACATGAGAAATTGTAAGTGATGCCGCGTTAGATTATCATCAGTACTCTCATCCAGTTACTGGAGCTTGCGAAGTCTTTACAATTTTATAAGCAATGCGGAATTGTTAAGAAAGCACACATCGGCTTTTCATAGAATATTGTCATGACATCAGGAAATGATGAAAAGAGACCAAGAGAAACATAAAATGTATTCTCCCTCTTTGTGTCTCGAAAACTTCTATTTTTATGGTTTGGGATGCCTCCATCCTCGGAGACCCAGGGGCAGATAGTGGGGGCGAGGGAAAGTCTAAACGGGAGGAAAAATAAGGCGCGAAGAAAAGTAAAGAACGGCGAGAAGAGCAGGCTTTTGTACATTATGCTAGCATTTTTTCGAGCATTTTAGTGAAGCAAAAGCATTGAGCATTATTCGAGCATTTTAGTGGCATTTTCCCCGGAAAATTAATTTTTCCGAGAAAATAAAATAGAAATGAACTTTTTTCAGGAGCCCATGCCCCATGAGCTTCTGCTTTTTTTAAACAAAATGAAGACTAAAACTCAAAATTCACAAAAAACCTAATACAGCTGGGTTTTTTTTTTGGCTGTATTTATGAACTTGTACACGTTGTCGTTGTTACTTGCAACACTTGCACGTTTTTGTAAGTGTAAACTTTGAAATTAATTTTAAAAAACCGTTTGTATAATGAG